CCGTGGGTAAACGGTCCAGTTAGCAGCGGGTTAGCTTGGGCGATTAGTACGGCGGCTGTATGGGTAGTAGGGCGGGAAAGGGCATCGGCAATATTATTTGGCCCCTTCTTGTAGGTGATGTGGTAGTGGAAGTTGGACTCGAGATATTCGAGCCAACGAATCTGTCGTGGATTGAGGATCGGTTGGGCTCGGAGGAACTATAGGGACTTGTGGTCTGTTTGGACAGTAACGTCGGCCATGGATAGGTAGCAGCGGCAGGTCTTGAAAGCATTGACGATCGCGAGCATTTCCTTGTCATGAACCGGTTAATTCTATTCAGCGCCTTGGAGTTTTCGCGAGTCGTAGGCGATTGGCTGCAGGCCTTCACCGAAGTCCTGTAACAGTACCGCGCCAACGGCAATGTTGCTGGCGTCTGTAACCAGTTTGTATGGGCGGTCGAGGTCGGCGATACAAAGAACGGGTGGTGTCATGAGGAAAGTTTTCAGTCGGTCAAACGCAACTTGCTGCCTCTCCCCCCACTCATAAAAAACTCCCTTTTACAGCAAGTCGGTTAACGTGGCTATTGACTCCGCCATTTTAGGTATATAGCGGCGCACATAGTTGACGAACCCCATAAAACTCTGCAACTCCTTGACTTTTGTAGGCGGTTTCCAGTTGCGAATAATGTCGATCTTTTTCGGGTAAATTTTAACGCCTTCGGTGGAGATGACGTGGCCTAGGAATTCCAGCTCCTCTTTTAAGAACTCGCACTTGGAGCCTTTTCTGATGAGTCGATGTTGATCGCAGAGGGTAAAAACTGCTTCTAGGTCTGTCAAATTTTGTTCCCGCGAGGTGCTGTACACTAGGATGTCATCCAGGTAGACGATGCCGCACTTGTCCAGTAGCGAGCGGAAGACTTCGTTCATGGTTAGTTGAAAAGTGGAGGGTGCGTTTGTCCGCCCAAACAACATCACTGTATACTCGTAACTTCCGTAACGGGTTCAAAAAACAGTCTTCGAAATATAAGCTTCGGCGACACGAATTCGCAGGCAACCTCCTGTGATGTTACGATCTCGTGTCGCCGAAGCTTATATTTTGATCTTGGAAAAATCCTATATTTCGCAGGCAACCTGGCAGGCAAGTAGATCGATCTTGGAAAAAATCCTGGCCCTGCGAAGTTGGTCAATGAGATCGTCGGCTCGCGGAATCGGGTAACGGGACGTAAGGTGATGTTGTTGAGCGTGTGATAATTGGTACACATTTGGAGGCCTCTGCCCTTCTTTTGGGTGAAGAGAATCGGCGCGGCATAGGGTGACATGGATGTGCGCATAAATTTTTCTCCAGCAGACAATCAAGTTGTGTACGCAGCTCCATCAGCTCCTGTTGACTCAGCCTCCATTGCGATCGAACTGTCGGTTGCGCGCCAGGTTCCAGCTCAATTTTGTGATCGTGTGGTCGTTCGGGTGGTAAGTCATCATGAAAAATCTTCTCGTATGTGCGCATGATCTTCGCCAGGTCCTCAGGTACAGCAGCACACAACTTCTCCAGGTCGGTTTGTTCAGCCACCTCCGTTGATGCGATCCATCGGACGGCGTAGACATCTACGCCACGTGCCATTATACGCTTCATATCATGTTGTTCACTAATGTGGACTGAGGGTCGGGTGGTTTCCACTTCGGCAGTCATCGCCACTCGCCACCCCACTTCAAATGAATGTCGCCATTCCTCCAAGCAATGCTTGGATTGTACGTGCAAAGCCAATCGTGCCCTAAGAGCACATCGTAACAGTCCAACGTTGTCGCCAACATCTTCATGGCGAAACTGAATTGGCTGTCGCAATTGATGCGAACGTGTTTCACCCGCTCCCGTATTGCAAGTGGCGTGCCATCGACCAACCTCGCGTCAATCTCGGGCATGCACCTCTTCTTTTGCAGTTGCAGTTTCTTCGCTCTTGTCACATCAAACAGACTGTGTGATGATCCACCGTCCACAAATATTTTTTATTCTGGTGTTGCCAACGTGCCCTTCCACCAGTACAGGGCAGTCAGCATTTTCGCTCCCCTTTAACCGGGTCTGGTCGATCGCATAGATCGGCACTACGACTTGGTGGAAATGGTTATCTTCGGGCGACGAAGCCTCATCAGTAGAGGGCCCGACTGCTACTGATGCTGTCCATTTCCTGGCTTCCTTTCGTCGTTAGCTCCTAATTTTTGCAACTCCAGACAGTCTTGCATAATGTGCCCCGGCTGGCCACATTTATAACACTGCCAGAAAATCTGTTATCTGACCGTGTCGCCACACTGTTGATGGATGGGTAACTGTTATGCCCTCGAAAACGACTCCCCTCCCAGAAATTCGTCCTCGACCATACATTGTTCTCGTTCCACGCCTCTGCGACATGCTGTATCTCTAGGAACGTCGCCGGGCAACGCATGCAAATTTCGCGCCTAGGATGTATCGACTTGTCTTCTCCGTCTCGTGTAGATCGTCGATTTTGTCGCAAATGGCGAGGAAACATGATGTGTATTCCAGCACAAAACCTAGTGGACACCATTCGTGCAGCTTCACACGAGCGTTTTCGCATGCGGATCAGTCCCTATTTTTCACGAGTAAATTACTCTGATTCTCTGATTTTCAGAGTTGATTTTACGTACCACCCTTATGCCTCTGGGTAAATTTTTTGAGATAATACGTTTTCTCTGATTAGCCAGAGTTTTCTTTTGTACCACCCTGTTGGTTTCTGTACAGGGGGGATACCTCCAGATTTTTCTTGTACCCCCCTGTCTACATACGTGGACCCGAATCCATGCCGAGTATGACGGACTGAAACCGAAGCTAATTGGGCTGTTGTATAAGGGCGCTGATTGGCCCTTAGCCAAAATCAGCTCTCGATGCATGCTGCTGGAGTGTGTGTGAGGGTGAAATTTGGTCCTTCAACTGAAATCACCGTCCAATGTGTACAATCTGACTAAGGGCCTAAAAGCGCCCTCACAACGCAAAGTGTGTTGGATGCTGTGTGAGGGCCCCAATTGGCCCTTAGCCAGATTCACCATGTGATGTATGGCGCAGTTTGTATGAGGGCGCCGATTGGTCCAAACTCCATGAGATGTGTGCTCTTGCGTGGTGGCTGCGCGTGGATTGTGGCCCTCAGATTTCAGGTTTTTTTTTGGCTGATTTTGCTGATTTCCAGGGTGTTTTGCTGTACCTACCCTGAAAAATCAGCGTTGGAATCTGGAAAACCGGGGTTTAGTTAAAAAAGCAGTACCAACCTTGATTTTGAGGATGTTTTCAAGGTGCCTTTGTGTACCGACCCTGAAAATTCAGTGTGGCCTAAAACGAATCTGAGGGCCTGGGGTGTGGGGAAGAGGGGGTTTTTTGTGGATGGCACTGGTTGCCCCCCGCCAACCAGCGTGTGCAAACTTGATAGGCACTCCCCGCGCCTTTCAATTTCGTTTCCGAACCATTCCCCAGTTCTCCCCGGTTGCGCAATTGTGATGCACCACCAATCAATCCCTTCGTGCCCCGCACCCTTCTTTCACACGGCACATGCTGGCCCTAGCTTTATCAAAATGGCGTGTGATCACGTATGAATTAGGCAATTAGACACGTGACATGACCCATGCATTTGCGGGCGTCTACAAGAGAACATACTTGACAGAGTAATTTTTTAAGAAATACTGGGTTACTCTGACCATTCAAGGAAAATGTTAGAGGTCACTCTGATTTTCAAAGTTCCGATAAAAATGACTGCCAGAATTCAGAGTAGCGAAAATCCAAAGATCAGCACTGATGCGGATACATGCTCGAAGCGCCGGCGAAGCAGTGCACCCCACTGTTGACAGGTGAGGATCTCGGCCACACCAAACAAGGATCATGGAGGAGTTGAATCCAATCGTCGCTCCCCGTCCATCGCATGTTGCCAGTCTGCCGGAGTCCCTCGTCACGTCACGTACTGTTGCCACCAACTTAATGCAAGTCCGCGTAATAAAGACACCGCCAAGTTGACGCGTGTCTCATCGTCGTTGACGTCGGCGGCATTGAAGAACAGTTCCATGGCGAACAGCCATCCACTCAGCGTGGTGGGTTTCTCCAGGGGGTTGAACGGCGGGGGCATGGCAGGTTTTATCTTCACAACTGCTCGTCACTCGCTCGAACTGCCACGTGTCGCTGACGTCGCCTGCTGTTGATGCTCGCTCGCACGATCTTCGTCCACGGTAACAGGCGACACCTGACGCGTCGCGCCACGCGTCTGGCGAAGGCTCACGTTTTCCTCTTTCAACGCAGCGAGTTCAAAGGCCATGACCTCCATCTTCGTCATCATTTCGCCAACCTTCGTCGTCAGTACTGATGCGCTTGCTGCCGCCTCTGATAACTTAGTTATTTGCTCGGGAGTCATATTTCTAGTACTACGGTGAGGAGGGCTATTGACCATGGATTACCCGAACTAGCTAACGCCACTAAAGACACTACGGGCACCTGCAGTGTTAGAGACGTGGAGCGCACACGGCAAAGTCGGCGGAACTGAAGAAGTTCCTGCAGGACTGCTGGACAGCTCCTGTCTCCTGACGTGCGAGGTCCCTCTAAAAACTACCTCACTACGGAAGCATAAATGGGCAGGAACGTAGCTTTGATACCAGCTGTTATGATAATCTCTGGATATGAGTTGAGTAATGCAATAGTGAGGTCTTTATTAAAGTGTGTTGATTACAAATGAAGCACATGGCTAAATACAAGCACAGCTAGCCTAGCAAGAGAGCCTCGAGGAAGGCCACAAGACACACACGAGGTGGTTCGGGGCGCCTCCGGACTCGGAAGTGTCGGACGCGACGCCGTGTGCAGGCTTGAGGTCTCGAACGTAGTTCAAATCTGAATTGTCGGGCCGAGCCCGGACTTCTGAAAGTGAGGGCTGTACTCGATGTTAGCGATGCTCGATAAGGAAAGGGATTTTCCTTGTGATAGAGGTGCAGCGCGAGTGTTCATGATAACATTGCTCCATGCTCACACTGCGTGCTCTGTGCTCAGAGTGTCAGGTTCACCTAACAGAGACCTTAGCGTCGACTCTAAAAGTCACCATGATCAAGTCGTCCCGTGCTCACATTCCGCGCTTCGTCAGGTTCACCCAACCGAGAATACGGTAGTTCGTCAGTCTTTACTCTCTCGCTACGGTTCGTTCCGTGCTCACATTGCGCGTTTCGTTGTTCCATCTGGCGTGAGGATGACAAAGGCCGAGTCAGCGAGAGGATAACAAAGGCTGAGTCAGCGAGAGGATAACAAAGGCTGAGTCAGCGAGAGGATAACAAAGGCTGAGTCAGCGAGAGGAGGTTCCATGGGGATGGCAGCACCCGGCGTGCGAGTCGAGCCAAAGTCTCTGACGTTCCCTTGTAAGGCAGCAGGCAGCAGTCACTGACAACAGTCGTTCTTCACTACAAGTTTTCGGTTCTAAGCCACACGTATTAATCACTAGCGACGTCGTCAACAAGCCTGAACGTCCATTATCAGCATCCGAATCCGATGATCCACGCATACTTTCGATGCGTCAACTTATAAACGGTCGCTGTTCGTGTTTGTGATTGGCAGTTGAGGCGAATAAGGACCTTACTCTGACCGTCCAGATAACCAACGGCTACTCCCGTGACATCTTACTCCATGTGAGTCAAAGGGAGAGTGGGATTCAAAGGGAAGGTGGGAGTCAAAGGGAAGGTGTGAGTCAAAGGGAAGGTGTGAGTCAAAGGGAAGGTGTGAGTCAAAGGGAAGGTGTGAGTCAAAGGGAAGGTGTGAGTCAAAGGGAAGGTGTGAGTCAAAGGGAAGGTGTGAGTCAAAGGGAAGGTGTGAGTCAAAGGGAAGGTGTGAGTCAAAGGGAAGGTGTGAGTCAAAGGGAAGGTGTGAGTCAAAGGGAAGGTGTGAGTCAAAGGGAAGGTGTGAGTCAAAGGGAAGGTGTGAGTCAAAGGGAAGGTGTGAGTCAAAGGGAAGGTGTGAGTCAAAGGGAAGGTGTGAGTCAAAGGGAAGGTGTGAGCCGTTCCTCTCCGCTTCTGTGAGTCATTTGCCGTTTCCACCTATGTGCCGCGCCGCTCCCGCATCTTCCCTTCTTCTCGCCTTGGTCATCATTCCGACATTATGCCGACCAGACATTGTTCCGATCATTTCCGTCTCGGAACGCAAAAGGCCTGACCATGGTGGTTGCCATGCCGGGTCTCCGCTCTGGTTTCTCCTCCTTGCTCTTCTCTGCTTCGCTCTCCTCTGCTTCGCTCTTCTCGGCTCTGTTCTACTCACTCTTGCCGCTGCCCCGCCCTGCTGCACTCTGCTTCGCCCTGCTGCACCCTGCTTCGCCCTGCTCCGTTATTGGAGCAGGCGGAACCTGGACCAGTGCGCAGCTACGGCGTGAAAGGGTTCAAACGGAGTGGAGTCAACAAACAGCTAAAGAGAGTGTTTGGCTGGTCGATGATCGTTCTGATGACCCCTCCTTGCTTGTGCAGGTGGAGCCCGGACCGGTGCGCAAGTACGAGGTGAAAGAAGGGCTGAAGCACGTCGTGGCAGGAGGACGGTCCATCACACTCACGAGTATGCGTTGTATGGCACTCATTAGCGGGCATATGCGTTGCATGGCACTCATTAGTGGGCATAGCATGGCACTCACCAAGTGTGCAGCATGGCATAGCACTCACAAGTGTGCATGGCATGGCATGGCTCTCACAAGTGTGCATGGCATGGCATGGCTCTCACTAGTATGCATGGCATGGCAAGCTCTCGACTATCAACGCCATGTGGTCCGGCTCACTTCCGCCTCGTTCTGTGTGTGTGTCACCTAGCCTTGCACTGCCTATTCTTGCTGTCTCGTCCCCCCCCCCCCCCCCCCCGCCCCCAACCCCCCAGCGGGGTGCTCCGCCTTGCCCTGACTGTGTTTCGCCCACCTTGCTCTATCTATTCTCGCTGTGCCCTGAATGTGCCTCGCCCGCCCCAGTGGTGTGCTCCGCCCTGCCAGCCATGCCGTTCTTCCCCGATCACTTCATTGTAACCGCCTACATGGCTGGTTACCACTCCAGGGACGCGCTCTCCACCTCCGCTGTACGTCCGTCACCTTTACTGCACGCCTCCCACCTTTACTGCACGCCTGCCACCTTTGCTGCACGCCTGCCACCTTTACTGTATGTCTGCCACCTTTACTGCACGTCTGCCACCTTTACTGCACGTCTGCCACCTTTACTGCACGTCTGCCACCTTTACTGCACGTCTGCCACCTTACTGTACGTCTGCCACCTTTACTGCACGTCTGCCACCTTTACTGTACGTCTGCCACCTTTACTGCACGTCTGCCACCTTTACTGTACGTCCGTCACCTCCAGATTGTATCAGGCCGGCTTAAAAGCCACTCATCATGCGCCGCAATCCCTAAATACCTCACAGTGGCTCATGGTGGCAATCCCTAAATACCTCACGGTGGCTATCACGCACGACATGGCTTGAAGTCAGCAAGTCGTGCTCTTCAGGAGAATCACCTGTGCCTTTAATTGCAACTCCACCTCCCTGACCCGCCAATTTGTTGTAGGTGGTTTTTGAGAGCTCTCAAAAATCACATGGCTTGAAGTCAGCAACTTGTGCCCTTTAGGAGAATCACCTGTGCCTTCAATTGCAACTCCACCTCCCTAACCCTCCAACACCCTCTACCCAACCCTCCCCTCTCCCCCCGTCCCTACCCATCCTCCCTTCTCCCCAACCCACCCCTCATCGCCCCAAACCCTTTCCAACTCCCTACCCTCTCCCTTATTGCCCTTCCTTTCCTCTCAGCCGCCTGCTGATCTGTGCCGTATGAGTGCGACCAAGCTGCCTGTCTTCTTCTTCAGCAAGGTTGCCAGCAGCAAACCCTTTCCAACCCCCGTACCCTCTCCCTCATTGCTCCCCTTCCCCCCTCACAGCCGACCACTGATCTGCGCCGTATGAGTGCGACCAAGCTGCCTGTCTTCTTCTTCAGCAAGGTTTCCAGAACCAGAGGCGAGGGGCCGGCAGGGGATTTCGGGAAGGAGGGGGCGAAAGCGGAGGACGAGACTGAGCAGGCTGCAGATGTGCAAAACGACGGAGGGAGGCAGCAGCAGCAGAGGCGGGAGGAGGTGCAGCAACAGCAGGAGGAGAGGGAGGAGGGGCAGGGGAAATTGGGCAAGGTGGAGGGGCGGAGGAGGCCGTCCCTGGCTGATGTTGCCGCCCTGGCAGTTCAGCGAATGAAGGAAGAGGGGTCCGCTCAAAGCCCAAGCCAAGGGCAAGGTGGACGGCTGGGTGCGGAGAGGGGAGGAGGAGGGAGCAAAGGCTCGGGGAGGGCGGCGCCACCGCACAAGAGCTTGACAAGCCAGAAGTCAATGAGACGGCTCATGTCGCGAGTCATTGGCCGGCAAAAGAGCCACGAATATGTATGTGGTTTAATCATGATTTCGTGATGAGTGGAGGCGTATGGACATGTTGTAGTGTTGTCCATGCTGCAACCTGTAACCATGGCTGCTGCTGCATGCATTGAACGGTTTCTCTGTTGCCACATGCTCACTTTTCCTCTCTGTCTCTTTCCCTTCCCCACCCTTTTCCCCCCCTCTTTTCCTCCCTGCCGCCCCTCCCCCCATTCCCTCTCCCCCCATTTTTGGGAGATGTTTCTCCAGACGTGGTTTCACCTCCCTCTTTCCCTCTTCCCCTCTTTCCCTCCTTCCCTCCCTCCCCCGCCTCTCCCCCCCAGCTGTGGGAGATGTTTCTCAAGATGTCGCGGGCGGACTCACGCACACCCCTGCCCTCACTCCCTCTCTCCTTCCCCCATCCCCCCTCTCCTCACCGCAGCTGTGGGAGATGTTTCTCAAGACGTCGCGGGCGGACTTTGTGAGTCTGCAGGAGCACGTGATGGGCATGGTGCAGGAGAGGCAGCACCTGCGGGAGGAGAACCAACAGCTCAAAGACGCGCAGCAGCAGGTACGAGGGGAGACAAGGATAGGCGAGTGTTGGGTGAGGTGCTAGATGCCACGTGATGGGCATGGTGCAGGAGAGGCAGCACCTGCGGGAGGAGAACCAACAGCTCAAAGACGCGCAGCAGCAGGTACGAGGGGAGACAAGGATAGGCGAGTGTTGGGTGAGGTGCTAGATGCCACGTGATGGGCATGGTGCAGGATAGGCAGGAGCTCTAAGCGGAGAACCAGCGCCTCGAAGGCGCGCAGCAGCAGGTGAGCGGGGCTCAGCGGGGCTCAGATGCGCTCAGATGGGCTCAGATGCGCTCAGATGGGCTCAGATGCGCTCAGATGGGCTCAGATGCGCTCAGATGCGCTCAGATGCGCTCAGATGGGCTCAATTTTGTAACTGTGAGCTGGTGGCTCAAATGTAAGCGAACTGCAAACCACCCAGTCGCACGCCTTGCCTTCCCGTGTTTCAACCTTTCCGTCCTCTGTTCTTTTCGCGTCCTCGTATTTCCTTCCATTGCTGTCTCCCAGATTTTGGAGATCCAATCTCGAGACTCGTTTGACTCGCTTGACACACTGTGCCTGCCTCCAGACTCCAACGACCCCTCTACCACCGCCTGCACCACTGCTACTGCTGCAGGCGCCTCAGGAACAAGCACGAGCACAGGGCCAAACGCCATCCCTCTGGCCGAATCGAATCCTGCTCGTTTGGCTTCCCCGAGCACCGAGCCCTGCGGCTTGCCTGCTATGGCGCCCATCTCCTCCCCCTTGCCAGAGCTTCCCCCATTCAGCAGCACCACCTCCTCCTCCTCTTCTCCCTCATCCTCCTCCATTACTGCCCCCTCGGATCCTTCATTCAATCACATCACAAGAGCACTCACAAACCCTGGTTCCGCCAACACCCACTCCATCTCGCTCCTCGGCCCAGTCCCAGACATAACCATCCCCAAACGCAACTCCCTCGCTTCATTCCCAGCTTCAGCCTTCCCCCCCCCTTCCTCCTCGGCCTTTCCCCCCGCCCCCGCCCCGCACTTCCCCTCCTCTGCAAGCACCGCCTTCCTCCCCTCCTCGTCCTCGTCCATCGCATCCTCCTCACCGTTCTCCACCTCGCTGGATCGCTCCTCCACACTCCCCCCAGGGGGCATCGCGTCCACCCCGTCTGGCCGCAGCATGTCCCGGTGGGGGACGGTGTCAGAAGCGACCCCATTCGATGCGAATCAAAGGGCGTCTACCCCCTCGGGTCGGACCTTGGCGCGGTGGGGAACGGTGGGGGAGAGTGCGTTGGACAAGGAGGCGCAGAGGAAGGAGGCGGTGCGGCGGGCGCTGCTGGAGGAGAACAACGGGCTCAAGGACCAGCTGGAGGAGAGGGAGCGGGCGGTGAGGGCGTCGCAACGCAAGGGGAACACTCTCGTCAGGGAGCTGGTGCGCGGTTGGGTGGCGAGTTGGGTGGGTTTTGAGGCGTCTCAACACTGCGTTGCTTGCACCTGTTAGATTTGCTTTTGGCCTTTCGGTTTGTGGTTAGTAAAGAGGGAGCGGGCGGTGAGGGCGTCGCAACGCAACGCTAGGGGGACACTCTCGCCAGGGAGCTGGTGCGTGCGATTTGAGATGCGCCTCAGAAGTCCGTCGAGCCTGCCTGCCTGTCCTCTTGGTTTTGTGGCCATTTTTTTTGTGGTTGGGGAGGGCTATGAGGGGGCCTGTGCTGCACAAGGGGGGTACTCTTGCCAGGGGGTTGGTGTGTGGTCCGTCGCGCATTCTTCTCTTTGGCATCTGCTGGCTCTCCTCTTGCTCCTTATCACAGCATTGTTGTACATACAGACAACAGAGTCGGACGCATTCGACAGAGTTTTCCAGCTCTCCTCCTCCCCTCTTCCCCTCCGTCCCCTGCAGGTCGTGGCGTGATCCTTCCCTGCAGACCAGGGCACTATCCTGGTTGTCAACCTTGGAGAGGCAGGTGCGGGAGGAGAGGGAGAAATGCTCCATCAGGCCCTTTTTTCTCCCCACAAACACCTCCTTCCTCTGCTCCTCGTTCCCCTCCCCCTCTCCCCTCCCCCCCCCCCCCCTCCCACCCATCTCCCATGCATGTGGCAACTGTTATCAGTGGAGCAGCAGGTGCAAGAGGAGAAGGATGGAGGCACGTCTTCCCACCCTCGCTTTCGTCTTCCTTCCTGTGCACACCTCCCTCCACCTCTCCCTGTCCCCCCCTTCTTGCTCTGCAGGCGGCAGCACAATCGCAGCTGTTGTCAGTGGAGCAGCAGGTGCAGGAGGAGAGGGATGAGCGGCAGCGGTTGGCCAAGGAGCTGGAGTCGGTGCAGGCAGCGCTGAAGCAGCAGATGCAGGCCGTGGAGGAACAAAAGGAGATGATGGCCCGGCTCATGGCACAGCAGCAGCAGCAGCAGCAGCAGACGGAGCAGCAGCAGCAGGCAGATGCTTTGGAGGAAGGAGGGTCAGAGGCAGGGAGTGAGGGTGGGGAGGGTGGAGGCAAGGGGGACGGGGATGGGAAGAAGAGGAAGGAGAAGAAGGAGAGGAAGGAGAAGAAGGAGAAGAAGGAACGGAAGGAGAGGGAGAGGCGGGAGAGGAAGGAGAGGGAGGAGCGGGAGGAGAAGGAATGGGAGGGATGTTTGGAAAGGGCAGGAGGGGATGGGATGCAAAGCAAAACACATGGAGGGCAGTCTTGCTGGTACGATGAAGGGCCAGGCGACGGGTACGATGAGGGGCATGGTGGGGGGTACGATGAGGGGCCAGGCGTGGCTTATGGTGGCGCAGATGGTGCGGTCTGCGGGAAGGCGGAGCAAAGGAGAAGTGAATCAGCAGGGGAGGCAGAGGCTGTAGCAGGCGAGGGGCGACACGCACACAAGGAGCACACGGACCCCCAGAAGGAATGGCGATTGGGACTGCTGGAAAGCAGTGCTATTGGAGGAGCCCGGGATGGGGGAGCCCGGGATGGGGGAGCCCGGGATGGGGGAGCCCGGGATGGGGGAGCTGCAGGGAAGTGGGGAGTTGGGGAAGCAGGTGCGCGTGACGGAAGGGGCAATGGGCACGCAAGAACCAAGAGTGATGGAGAAGTAGGCAGCCAGTTGCGTGGGGCTGACAGGGAAGGGTCTGACTCCGGCACTGGGAATGGGAATGGTGGACATGATGGACATGATGGACATGGTGGACATGATGGACATGATGGACTTGATGGACATGATGGACATGATGGACATGATGGAAATGAGGGGGCGGACAGGTCACCTCCCAGGGTGCAGTTGTCTCGCAGGCCGCCTCGATCCCTCAACCTGGGGTTTGCAAAGAGACCCAGTGGACGAAGAGACGAAACAGATTGACTCAGACCAGCCGTTTGAAGGTATTGTATAGCCTGGCTACCAGATTGACCCTTCAGCTGGCGGCGCAGGTCGGCGAGCCACGCCTCTAAATCCACCGCACGACCCTCGGCGTCCAGGCGGAGAGTAGAGTCCGCCATCATGCAAAGCTGCAGCAGCTGTCGAACGCAGGAGGAGGAGCAGGGAGGAGGCGGGTGCGGTGGAGTGTGGTCGTCGAGATGGCCTTCGAGGGCACCGGCGCAGGGGAGAAACCAGCGCCGGCGGTGATCTGGGGCCGGCGGCGAGCAGAGACCGGTGCGGCTAGCAGGGGCCGGCGCGGCTAGCAGGGGCCGGCGCGGCGAGCAGGGGCTGGCGTGGCTAGCAGGGGCTGGCGAGGCGAGGAGAGGCCGGCGCGGCGAGCTGGAGCCGACGCGGCTAGCTGGTGCCGACGCGGCGAGCTGGGGCGGCGCGGCGAGCCGACGCCGCAGGCCGGGGCGGCGCAGCGGGCTGGCGCCGACGCGGCGAGCTGGGATGGCACGGCGAGCTGGGGCCGATGCGGCGAGCTGGGGCCGACGCGGCGAGCTGGGGCCAGTGTGGCGAGGAGAGGCCAGCGTGGCGAGGATGGGCCAGCGGCGAGCTAGGGCAGACACGACGGGCAGGGGCCAGCACGGCGAGCTAGGGCCAGCGCGGCGGGCTAGGGGCCAGCACGGGCAGCGGGCTAGAAGCCAGCGCGGTGCGGCGAGCTAGGGGCCAGCGCGGTATAGCGAGCTGGGGCCGACGCGGCAAGCAAAGGGCCAGCGCGGCGGGCTAGGGCCAGCGCGGCGAGCTAGGGCGAACGCGGCGCGGCGGGCTAGGGCAGGCGCACTCTAGGAGGCAGGGCGCTCTATGGTAGCCTACGACGGAAGTGTGGATGGGTGGGACCTACCTAGCGGGATACCATCTCAGAGTAACAAATCGAGGTAAAGGAAGGCATATAGGGTGATGTATCTATTTGGTGTTGTACTCTCTAAGAGCACGAACCGATCTAGCCTAAAACTATACGTGCAATGTAATTTTATCAGTTGACAGTTAGGGGCTGTGACACTCTTAGGGCGTATTCCTTCAGGACACTGTTCAGTACCAGCAATCCGTGTCAAACATCACTATCAAATGTTTGTATAGACTGTATAGGGTCACCTCTTAGAGAGTACAACCCTTAGATATGTATGCTTGTACCCAAGTTCTCTACTCATTCATTACTCAGTTCTAAGATGGTATCAGCAGTAGGTAGGTCCCGCTGCCCGCCCACGCTTCCGCCCTAGGCCCTAGCCGACCCCGCGCCCGTCCTAGTCGACCCCGCACCCATCCTAGCTGCGCCCGCGCGCCCGTCCTAGCTGCGCCCGTCGCGCCCATCCTAGCCGCCCCCGCGCCCGTCCTAGCCGGCCCCGCGCCCGTCCTAGTGGCCCCCGCGCCCGTCCTAGCAGCCCCCGCGCCCGTCCTACCGGCCCCCGCGCCCGTCCTTCCCGGCCCCGCGCCCGTCCTAGCGGCCCCCGCGCCCGTCCTAGCGGCCCCCGCGCCCGTCCTACCGGCTCCCGCACCCGCCCTACCGGCCCCCGCGCCCATCCTTACCAGCCCCATGCCCGTCCTACCTGGCCCCGCGCCCGTCCTAACGGCCCCCGCGCCCGTCCTAGCCGGCCCCGCGCCCGTCCTAGGGGCCCCCGCGCCCTTCCTTACCGGCCCCGCGCCCGTCCTAGCGGCCCCCGTGCCCGTCCTACCGGCTCCCGCGCCCGTCCTAGCTGGCCCCGCGCCCGTCCTAGCCGGCCCCCGCGCTCGTCCTAGCTGGCCCCCGCGCCCGTCCTACAGGCCCCCGCGCCCGTCCTAGCCGGCCCCGCGCCCGTCCTACCTAGCCCCCGCGCCCGTCCTCGCCAGCCCGGCGCCCGCCGCTACTGGCCCCCGCGCCCGTTCTGCCGACCCCTGCGCGCGCCCTGCCCGTCGATCTCCGGCCCCGGGCTCACCTTCCCGCCGGACTGCCGCCGATCTGCGTGCGGCCCGCTCTTCGTGCCTGCTACTGCACTGCATCCTCCCTGGTACGGCTCTCCCTCACCTTTCACTGCACTGCACCCCCTGCATCGCACGGCACCGCACTGTACCGCACGAAACCGTGCTGCACCGCACTGTACCGCACTGTACCGCGCTGCACTGCACTGTACCGCGTTGCACTGCCTCACCTGGCCCTGCCCTGCACTGTTCCTGATGGCGGCGGAGCTTCGCTTCGACACTGAAGGCCAGCCTCTGGAGTTCGAGGCCTGGCTAGCCGACCTCCGCCGCCACCTCACTGGTCAGCGGCAGGATGGCCACCCGCTCTCGGCACACCTTGACGGTACGCTTCCCTGCCCAGACCCCCCTGCTATGCTGCCCGCTGACCCCACACCTGCTGAGCGCGAGGCTACTGCAACCGCTGCCCTCGCTCGCTCTGTCTGGCTTTCCCGTGACGCTGTCGCACAGCTTGCCATTAGCAATGCCCCCCCCCCATCTGAGCGTCCTCGCTTTAGGTCTATCACCACCGCCCAGGCTTTCTTAGATGCTGTTATCCGGCGCTATTCCGCCCCGCCTGCTGCCTCGGTGGGTCGCTTGATCCTACCGATGCTCTTTCCTGGCCTTGCGTCTTTCCCCACTGTCGCTGACCTGGCTGCCCACCTGCGCACGATAGATGAGACCTCGCGCGTTGCTTGCACTGATGCACAGCTTAGAGCCCACCAGCCGCCCCTTACCTCTACCCTCTACCTGCTTGCCACCCGCCTCCCTGACCGCCTTGCTGCTACTCGTGACAGCTTCCTTAGCATTCACCCCGGTGACCTCACCCTCACCGACTTTGTAGACACCCTGACTGTTATTGAGACCCGCCACCGCTCTATCGCCCAGGCGAGCGGTACTGTGCCGGTCCCTAACTTTCAAGGTTGTGCCCCCGCTCAATGCACCTTCTCCGATGGTTCTGCAGCTGTGGCTGAGACCACCGCTGCAGCGCAGTTCCGTCCGGGGAAGGGCCGCCGCCCCAAGGCTGGGCGCGGCGGAGGAGGTGGGGGTGCCAGTGGAGGTGGTGGTGGAATCGGGTCGTCTGGTGGTGGAGCGGACGAGGGGACCCTGCCCGGTCCAGCTGAGCAGCCGCCCCAGCAGCCGCAGCAGCAGCAGCAGCAGCCGCAACAGCCGCACCAGCCGCAGCAGCCGCCGCAGACGAGGCAAGCGAGTGCCCTCCCGCCCAGGTGGCCTGGCGCTGGTGGTGGTCGTGCGCGTGGTGGTGTGCAGGGTGGCAGTTCGGGAGGCGTGCGCTGTCAGTACCAGATCCAGACTGGTCCTTGCCGCGGCTTCGTTTGCGGTAAGATCGATCACTCCACTACCCGCTTTTTTCGTCGCCTGGACGACATGTTTCGTCAGCGCTTCGGCCCGTCGCCCGACCTCCCGGACTGGCACAGTTTGCTTAGTCGTAGAGTTCAGCTTTTTGACATGGACATGGATGCCATTGTTTCTGCCCTGCATGTGATGTATGCTGATGACTCTAGTGTGCTCCCCTCTTATTACTCCTTGTCGCCTAGTGTAGGTGTGCCTAGCTTAGCCTCCCCTGCTGCGTCAGGCATAGGAGCTCCTGTTTTGTTTAGCCTTGGTGCTTCCGCCGTCGCCCCGTCGCCAGACGCCACTGTTTCGCTTTCCTTCACTTTGGACTCTGGCGCTTCCCGGTGTTTCTTCCGCGACTCTACTACGCTGACGCCGCTTCCTCTTCCTGCTGCAGTTTCTCTTGCTGACACCTCTGGCGATCCAGTCGTCGCTCGCAGTTCCACCACCCTTCCCTATTCGGCTGTTCCTTCGGGCTCTCTTACAGGTCTGCATATCCCCTCGTTCTCCAGGAACCTAGTTGGTGTCGGCTGCCTCCAGGACCTTGGCGTCACCACTACGTTCCCTGGTCACGAGCGGTATGCTATCTGTACCGAGGCCGCCACTGGTGCCCCCCTATCCACGTTCCCCCGGGACACGGTGTCCGGCCTGTTCACCTTGGACACCGTGACCCCCCCGGCTGGGGCGCCCCTTCAGGTGGCTGCGTCTACCCATGTTGCTGCTGCCTGCTCCTGTCGGTCCCTCACTCACCCGACTCTCCTTTGGCACCACCGCCTAGGTCACCCTGTACTCCCGCGTCTGCGTCAGATGTCCCAGCACGGTCTCGTCCTTGGTCTCCCTGGTACATTCCCCGCTTTTCCCTCCTCCCCAGCCCCACCTTGCACGCCTTGCGTCGAGGGTCGGCTTCGCCGTGCCCCTCACTCCTCCTCGTTCCCCCCTACCGCCACGCCCCTGCAGACCCTGCACCTGGACGTCTGGGGCCCCGCCCCTATCCATGGGCCGCGTCGAGAGCGCTACTTCCTCGTGCTTGTCGACGACTTCACTCGCTACACCACAGTCTTTCCCCTGGAGTGCAAGGCCGACGTGCCTGACGCTCTCATCCCCTGGCTTGTCTCTGCCCGTGTCCACCGAGGTCTCCCTGTCCTGCGTCTTCACTCCGACCGTGGTGGCGAGTTTGCCTCAGGTGTCCTTGGTCGCTTATGTCGTGCGGAGGGCATCACCTAGACGTTCACCCTGCCGGACTCCCCATAGCAGAATGGGGTCGCTGAGCGACGCATCGGTTTGGTCATGGAGGTGGCTCGCATCTCCATGATCCATGCCGGTGCACCCCATTTTCTGTGGCCGTTCGCCGTGCGCTACGCTTCTCACCAGCTTAACCTGTGGCCGCACCCCCAGCGGCCGCAGGTTTCGCCGACCCTTCTTTGGACCGGGTCTCCTGGTGACGCGTCTGCGTTCCACGTCTGGGGCTGCCTTGCTCACGTTCGTGCCTCTGGCACGGACAAGCTCACTGCCCGCACCCTTCTCTGCGTCTTCCTAGGTTTCCCCCTTGACGCGTCCGACTGGCACTTCTACCACCCGCCGTCTCACCGGTTCTTTCACTCTCGCGACGTCACCTTTGACAAGTCTGTTTCCTTCTACCGTCGATTCCCCCACCTCGGTCCCCCGGTTACTCCCCCCCTGTTCTTGGTCACTCCTTCCCTGGTGGTCCCTGCCCCCCCCCCCTCCCCCTCCCCCTCCTGCCCCCTCTGGTGTGTCCCACGTCACCCCTCTCCCGTCACTTGTCCCGGTCGAGGAGTCCTCTGACTCTGGTGGTCCTGTGCCGCAGTCCTTTTCGTTTGCCCCTCCCCCGGTGTCTCCTCCCCCACAGCCTCTGCAGCCACCGTCGCCCCTGCTGTCGCAGCCGTCGTCTCCGCTGCCGTCGCCACCACACCCGTCGTTCCCGCCACCGTCGTCGCCGCCGTCGCTGCAGCAGTTCGTCGACTCTGGGGGTGCCCGCGTTGGGGTGGGTGCTAGTTCTGGGGTTCCTGTTGTGGCTTGCCCCGGTGGCCCTGGACGTGGTACTGGTGCTCGGGGGGTTTCAGGCTCTGGGGGTGTTCCTTCTGGGGTTGCCGGAGTGGAGTGTCCCGGAGGTAGCCGAGGAGCAGCTTGCGGTCCCGGTGTTGGTGTTGTGCCGCCACAGCAGCAGTCCCCGCCAGTGTCAGCCCTTCGCCTGCTCGGCCTTCCGTCCCCTGACCCTGCGTCTGTTCCTCTCCTGCCGTCTCCTCCTCTTCCTGTCTACGGCCCTGTATTCCCTCCGCCAGACTCGTCCCCGGCTCGTCTTCCCCCTCGCTCCCCTCTTGTGTCCCCTCCTCTGTCTCCTGACCCGACGTCTCCGTCTCGTGTCTGGTCCCGCCGTTCCTCCCGCGCTCGTCCTGTCTCCCCTGTCACGCGCTCTCACCCTATGTTGCTCCGTTCCCACGCGTCTCGTCCTCCCCTTCTACCATCGCCTCCTCCGTCCTCTCTTACCGCTGCGCCTCCTCCTCCGTCTGACTACCTTCGTGCCGCTCGTCCTCTTGTTCCTCGGCTCCTTGCCTCCCTCGTTACCGACCCGTCTGTTCTGGTCTCGTGTCTTGACTCTCTTGTCGCTGCGGTCGCTGACTTCGCCTCTACCCGCCGCCTTGACTACGCCACTGCTCTGGTCTTTGACCGTGCCTGTCCTCCGTCCGTCGGGGGTGCTCTTGCCCTCGGCAGTGACGTCCTGGAGGACCGCCAGTACGAGCTTGCT